GACAGCTGTCATTTCAGGTGACTCGACGCAACCCTCCTCCCCCCCTTTTCACCTCCTGTCCCTCTGAATCCAGGGTCAAGCTAAGCCCCTCCCCTTCAGACCGACCCCAACCATTCACCACCACCAGGGTCAAGCTAAGCCACTCCCCTTCAGACCGAACCCAACTATCCATTCACCACTACCAGGGTCAAGCTAAGCCACTCCCCTTCAGACCGAACCCAACTATCCATTCACCACCACCAGGGTCAAGCTAAGCCACTCCCCTTCAGACCGAACCCAACTATCCATTCACCACTACCAGGGTCAAGCTAAGCCACTCCCCTTCAGACCGAACCCAACTATCCATTCACCACCACCAGAGTCTAGACTCTAGACCTTTGGGGTTTCATCGGATCGGTTCTCCCCTCCCGAATGATACTCCCGCAAAACGGGGCCTAATCGCAAAACTCCATTACATTCATTTGTATATTCCTGGCAACAAATATGTATTCGTACATCAAAACCGTCTCTCCTGATTGAACTGCAGTAAGTCAAAAACGTATATTCAGTATGAATTTAGCATTTTGTATAGATAGGAAACAGCATTTTAGTGCAAGAACCCAAATAAAAAATCTTTAGAGTCTACAGTTTCTCTACTTTGTGTTTGTAAATGCAGGTTCTTAATGTAAGACAATCATTTAACATGCTAAATTATCTCAAACCTTTTTTCTCCACTGTCTTGGCGTCGGGCTCTTTGGCCTTTCCAGAGTGCATACAGGGACACTCTGAAAACACAAAGAAAGCAGGTACATGTGATATAGAAGCTCTGAGTATCAAATTAATTGTATTCATTATCGGTTATAGATACAAGTATGAGATGTAATGGAGATATGTGAAATTAAACACCCTAATAAGCTATCTGAATGACTTGAGAGGAAGTAAAGTATATATAACTGACATATCTAGAGAGAGTTCATGTATTATAAATGAACTAGCTAGAAAAAGCACCTAACACACCAAATACTCTTAACCCTTATTATTAAATGGTCCAAAACACGTTATTTCCTCAGTCAAAACATTAGTTTAAAATGAGTTACAAATAATAAACAAGTATATATGACAACGGGGGAAATAATGGTAGAAATTAAAAGCATTTCAGAGTGGAATAAGTTATTCTTTATCTGTCATCCTCTGACCTGCTGCTTCAGCCTCTTCCTGCTCAGCTTCAGGGACGGGTTTGATCACATCCACCGACGCCTTCTCCTCCTCATCGTCGTCTTCATCGTACTCTTCTTCTTTTTTATCTTCAGGCTCGTCTACAGATTTCTTCAGTTCAGGTGTGGGCTCTTCATCTTCCCCCTCATCATCATCATCTTCCTCGAGAGCAGCAGGCTGAGAGAGGACTGAGGAGAAACAGATTTTATTTTGTGAGCTGACAATTAGAGTTATAGATATATTAACTGACAGGAGTCAAAGTATTTCTACCTAAGAAGTGTAAGGAATAGTTTGTGGTTGTTTCGTTGATCAGATTCAGGTTTGGCTTGATTGAGAAATATAATAGGAACAAATAAATTAAGGCTAAAGCACAACAAAACAAAATCTGATGGACCTTTGTGACCCAAAACTAGGTACCTAGCATATTACAAATTACTTGAGACCAATGTATGGATTTTTTAAATCTTTTTCATATCTTTGTGTTTAGTAGAGACAATAAATATGAGTGGATAAAAAGCACCTAATTTAGCTTTAAAATTCAACAATAAATTCAACTTATGTTTATTATATTTTATTCATATCAATTTAAGGATTGTGTTTTTTTGTTTTGTTAGATGCATTGGACTGTAAGGAAGTATGTAAGAAGCGTGAAACCTAAAAACATTAGATTTAATAAGCTTATCAATTATACGTTTTTCCTTGATTTCTTTGCAGCACCACACATGAATGGGGTTCGAGTCAAATGTAAGTTTATGCCGTCCAGCTTTTAACAAATATTATGCAAATATGTGACACGTACTGTACTGTATGGCTGTTCAGAGAAAGAAGGTGGGAAAAGTAATAATATTGATTTCACGTCCTATACAAATAATAACTGTAGAATTAAAATTACATTTTTAGAGAAACAGGGACATTTTTACAATGTTTTAATTAGTTTTAATTATGTGTGTACATCTCAGCAGTTGTGTGTGTGTCAAATCAGATCAAATCAAGTTTTATTTATATAGCACATGTATAAAAAAAATGTGGTCGAGCCAAATTGCTGTACATATAATAAAAAATAGCCTAGAGTAGAGATACTTATACAAGTGTGTGTGTCTGTCTGTCTGTCTGTCTGTCTGTCTGTCTGTCTGTCTGTCTGTCTGTCTGTCTGTCTGTCTGTCTGTCTGTCTGTCTGTCTGTGTGTGTGTGTGTGTGTGTGTGTGTGTGTGTGTGTGTGTGTGTGTGTGTGTGTGTGTGTGTGTGTGTGTGTGTGTGTGTGTGTGTGTGTGTGTGTG